ATCACATCAATAACTTTTCCTTCTTTTTCAACCACAAATTCTCCATTAATCTACTATTTCAGAATACATTCTTTCAAAATAATGTGGATCAAACATACAGAAACACTCTTCTTTCTTTAGAACTTCCACTTATTTTTTCTTCAAGAAAAAAAATCTTTTTTTCAAAGGGAAAGTTGAAGCACTTTTTCTATGAACTTTTTCCACAGGATGTTCATGTTCCAGTGCATTTTCTCACAGATGACATCAATCCGTTGACCTTGTTTTTGTAGGGACGACATGGCCAACAGATCATGAGTCCTCTCGCCTCGTACTTCTTCACTGCAGAATCATGACACTTCGGATCTGCCATGGAGGTTCGGCCTCGACATGGCTTCTCGGCTGAAATGATGATCACCTCAGTTACCTTGTATGGCCTCACCTCAGCTAGGTAGGAAATGTAGTGGAGTGCGGACATTGTTGATTTACTTAGCTGGCTGCCATGTTGATAATGATCTAGAGCATCTTCATAAGAGGCGTAGTAATTGATTAATTATTATCATACCTCAAATAATGATATTATTTTTACAAATTTTAAGTAAATGTTTTTGTTTTAGATATCAAAATTTTTTGACAAGTATAACTGATTTTTAGGCGATTTCTGACCAAGTCAAGCTTAGATATTAATAGTGTAATAAATATATAAAGAACCTATTAATCTACACTTAATTAAATATCAAACCTCAAAAGTATCAAAATATTGAACTTCAAGACATTGATCAAGACTTAATTTATTTAGGTCTTTCAATTAAACAAATTGGTTGCGACAGAGTCATTTTCCCGATGATTAGCAAGTTTGACAATCAACTAGAATATTCTTTCATCCATACAACGACATGGCTTGGTAAACTTATAAGAAAACATTCACAAAATGTTAAGAAAATTTATGAAAAGTGATTTTGATATAATTATTTATTTACTTAACTTGTAGCATGATTATTGATCAATTCAAGAAGCAATTATTTAAGGGATGTTTTAATTTAAATATATAAAAAATCCAAAAATAAATAAATGTTATGCATACTGTTGCCGGGCATGCAATTGGGCTCAATCGTATGGCTAAAGTTGAAGAAGTCCATCTAGTAATGGTGGAATGTGGAGCTACGTGAGAGCAGGGTGCAGGCGTTGGGTGAGAAGTTTTTTTTATTTTGAGGGCCTGTTTGGTACAGATTCTCCTTTTCTACAGTAAATCAATTCTCATTTTCAACCACACATTCTTCTATAAAATAATATTTTCCATCACATCAATACTTTTTTCTTCTTTTTCAACCACACATTTCCCATCAAATCACTATTCAAAAATCAATTCTTCCCCCAAAAATCCCTACCAAACACACTCTGAATTGTCTGAGTAAAGTCAGTTAACGAGAATTATTACTTCATTTATTCAATAAATTTTATATCGTAAAAAATTCCATTTTAATAAAATGAAACGCCACGTCAGTCTACCGTATATAAGAATTTTTTTGTAAGCATGTATCACTCATTACATCATAAACGTTAGCTTAAAGAACAAATTGTGTTCATTTTTAATTAAATATAACCAACCTTTAGTATTTGTATTGTATGGTGTTACACGAATCTTAACATAACTTCTTCTCATTTTAACCATATGACTTTCTAGGAATTATAAGGTCGCATTATTCATTAAGCACTTGTTTCAGCCTCATTTTTCGGATAATAAATTTTTATAATAGTGATTTTTTTGGAGAATGTATAATTAAAAAATGAAAAAAAAAATTTAAATTTACATGTAAAATTAATTTATTAGAAGAATGTGTGACTGAAAATAAACTTGAAACCTTTTTTTTTTCGAGAATGAAGTTCAAACTTGGACTAAGTCTAAACTTTTAATGCTGAGTACATGCTTTTTTTTTTTTACAAAAATGCTAAATATACACACCTTGGTTCACATTCACTTTCACATCCCTCTCACATAGGTGGTGGGGCCAGCGATTTTTAAAATTGAGGGCCCCACCCCATATGTGAGAGGGATGTGAAAGTGAATGTGAACCAAGTGTGTAAGTGTAGCATTACTCTTTTTTTAAACCACACACTATTCATCATATTATCTCACTCACTATGCCCCTATTTGATTTATATAAAAATCAAATTCTTAATCAATTTTGATAAAAATTGATAAAATTTATGATTGAAAAGATGTGGATCCTATGAACCATGTGGTTAAAATTAATTGTTAGACTTTAACTTAAATTTTAAGCCGAACCAAATAGGGATATAACGCCAACAAATACATGTCACTTCACACTCGCGTGGGTGGGTTCGAGTACATGGACTCTCATGCCATCACTACCCACCTTAATCTTTCCACACGGGTAAGCATTAACCTATTTGAGATCAAAAGATCTCATTTTTCAGACAAGCTTGAAAACAGAATTAGAGCAATAGATAGTTCATAAAACCAAGTAAACTGCTGCAACTGCAAATTCAATTTATACCATGAAAAAAGTAGTAAATATTTGATTCTAACTTTAACAAGCAATGGCTCTGAAGTAGAATAGTAAGGGAAAACCGTAAATAACATTTTCTAGTGTTAAACTGGCTATTTTTTGAATGGAAAACCATTAATTCTTACAAGCTTTAGCTCGCAAAAAGTTCATGAGAAAACAGGATACCTAGTTTCAGCATTGACTCTGAAGTAGAATAGTGACGGGAAAATAGCACAACATTACGTAGTCTGTTGTGAAGATCATAGTAAAGGATATTAGCATATACACGTCCTGTTGGTATCTGTAGGCAACTAGAGACAACCGCCACCTCATCCAATGCAAAAGATTGACGTTGCAGACAAACATGAACTTTGCTTTGGTGCTTTATGAAGATGGAGTAGGAAATATGCATAAATTAATCGAGCAACCACTTGTTTGCTACAAAAGTGTGAATATTCTGAGTACAAGCAGCATCCAGAGAAACCGCATGCATGATGGAAAGGAAGTCCCCAATCACAAGGCAAAGCAGAACTAAAAAGATAACTTTATTACTTAATTATGGAAAAATCCCAACTGATAACAATCACAGGTCTATGAAAGTAACATTAGAAAGATCACTATTTAATTCAATTTGAATTGAATTTAAAAAAAAAAAAAAATTACATAGAAAATGTCTGATCCAAAGTGATGGCACTAGAATATAGTAGATTGTCATGGTGGAAATGCATAACTACATGAAACACTGTGACTGACTAAAGTTCACTCTAAGTTCCTGCTCAGCTAAGTAGGCAACTTTTAGTGCATTGGTATGCAATGCTGAAAGCTATTAGACTGCAAAGTATAATAAACAAGACATTAGCTTTTCTTTTTGGATCTTCAATCCTCTCTACCAAAAATGTCATTAGGGTCAATATGCAGGTAAATTCAAACAATGCCAACTGCAGAGTGGTGTCCATGATGCACCCAACTCACATCAACATTTGTTCGTGTGCTTCCCTCACACAATCCATAACTATGCTGCAACATCCCTGTCAAATGTATTAAATATCCTTCTCTGTGCTTTTAATTCCCCCCTCCCCACCCCAACATCTCTCTTGGTGCAAAGTGGAACTTAGATAAATCCCAGATAGACTTCTAAGTATTCAACATGTGTTTTCCCCTGTATTCCAGTTTTTCATAAGACTGACCAAATTCTAGCAGGTTAAAATATAAACAACAAAACTCCCTTTTAGCCTCTAACAAACACACTAACCAAAATTGAAAATACTTCTTTTAAGTGTAACTTTCCAAGAAGCTAAGGGCCTGTTTGGAAGGGATTCTCAAAATTTTTCAGTAAATCAATTCTCATTTTCAACCACACATTCTTCAATAAAATAATATTTTCCATCACATCAATAACTTTTTCTTCTTTTTCAACCACACAATACCCATCATATCACTATTCAAAAATCAATTTTTCCCCCAAACTTTACGATTTTTATCAACATTTCAACTATACTAGGTGTAAGCAACGTGCAATGCACATTTGCCTAATTTATATTTAAGAGCTTGTTTGGTAGGGATTTTTTGGGGGAAGAATTGATTTTGAATATTGATATGATGGGAAATGTGTGGTTGAAAAAGAAGAAAAAATTATTGATGTGATGAAAAATATTATTTTATTGAAGAATTGGTGGTTGAAAATGAGAATTGATTTACTGTAAAAAAATTTAATCCCTTCCAAACAGGGCCTAAGTAACGAACGAGCTAAAGACAAAGCACAATATAATGTCTGTCATGCACTACCTATGACCATAGTCAAAAATTCCACCTTGAAATACTTCTAATTAATTTTAAAGTCCATGCACAACTTATCAACATCCAAAAGCATAATATCTGGTTTTTCTCATTTCATATGAACATTGAGCAGATGAAATCATTTTCGCCTTATAATTTTTCCTAATCTTTAATTGTAAAACTAAATTCTCATCCAATAAGACGGCACCATAGTCAGAAGAAGACAAACTTTAGCCTAGAATTAAAGGCTGAAAAAAGTATTACATCTCAAAACATTAATAACAACAAATTGAATAACAAAAGGAAAACAGCTTGTACTGATAAAAGTATATAGTTCTGCAATTCTGAAATATAAAGTTCATACGATTACAAATGTAACAGCAAAGAATTTTAGGCCGCACAACCAAGTCACCTTCTACGTAAGGACAGTGTGATTTGCCACAGAAGAGCTACCCAACTCTATGAATAAGAAACTAAGAAATGCTATATCAGATATGACAATTTTAAATTTCTAACAGTACAAATGTGGAAAAAAAATAATCAGCTTTTCCCCAAAGCATATTACACACACGACAATTGTAGTTGTAATAACATTTAATGCTCACTTTTGTAAATGCAACAATTAGACCATACCCGTTTGCACTGATTAGTAAGGTTAACCATGCCATTGCTCTTCAAACGAGAGATGTTCCTTTCAGAGTCACATCTTAGCTAATTTTACACTTAATGGGCGGTCTATCACATCTTGCCAGCATCCAAACCACCATACATCTTCGCAAATTCCAAACACATTTGATGATCCCTTGTATCCCCCCAGCCCCCCCAACCCCGAAAGCCAGATTTATAACCTTCTTGGTTCTTATATACATGTACTCCCCAGCTTGATTGAACATTGGGAACTCTATCAATGTCTTCTAATTCAATATTCACCGCATCATTATCGATACAAGATGATTTCTCACTCTGACCCTGATGCAAACCGCATTTCCCAAAGTGAACAGCACTTGTTCTAGGCCCCCGTAGTGTGTAAACCGGTCCCCCAAATGAAGGATAAACCTCTGCCCACATAGTTATATCCCAATTGTAATCATCAAAAGAACAAAATTCTCTTGCCTTTCTATGTATCTTTCTCCATACAGTTCGGTTAAATGAGTAACCCACATTTCCCATCCTCTCGGCTATCAAACTATCCCAACCCTCACCCCTCAACTTCACATCAGACGGTGCCAGATTTGCAGCATAGCAACTGGGACATTTTTCAGGCTTCAGTTTCGTTAATAACTGCAAATTACGATATGCATTAGGATAAATGAAATGATCCTCTTCTATGAAAAGAATATGACCCGAGTGCAGGGTTGTCTCCTTTAACCCATCCCATACCGTGTTCATCATCCACCACCAATGATGCTTCAAGGACACAATCTTTGGTGACCGGTGGTTCCCATACTGATCCGGATTTCCCTCACAGTTATCCTTAATTGAATTCTGCTTATCTCTACAATCCAATGGCGAAATGCCTGGAAAACTATCAGGAAACACATGAGGAGAAAAGGGGGCAAAAATTTGTTTCACTCGGCAAAACTTAATACCATCTACAATCTTATTCATCTCTTCAAAGTAACCATCATGGCTAATAATCAATAGAGTTTCACTAATTCCCGTTACGCGGGACAGGCTATTCACAACTGCTTGTAGATATTGAGGCCGGTTATGAACATACAAAACAATGACTATATGATCCCTGGCTAAAGTGGGATACAAATCCAAATTCCTTGGGGGCATTTGATTACGCTTTTCCAATGAAATTGAAAACTCATTCTGTTTAGGAAGCTTCAAATTCTTACCAACAACCTTAGTAGATCGACGAGTCGATCCAAAATTTGCATCAGTATCATCTGGATAAGTGAAACTTAAATCCGCAGCTGAATTTGTTTTCAATACAAACACCAATAACAGAACCCCAGATAGAGTAATCAAAACTACTGATAATAAACGTCGAAAAGCAAAATCTTTGATTCTGGGTTTTCTGTACGGAATCGCCATATCTAAGATCTCTACAGTACCGTTATACAACACACTTTAATTTCCAAGAAAGAAATGAGATTCTGAAATTACTAACGAAAGATCAAACAAGTGAGAAAATTAAGAATCTTAAAATGAACGACTTACAAAGTTGACCAATCTTATAAATCCGAGAAAAATCACAAAGTATTGCAAAACCCGTCAAGAACACCCCCAAATCAGTAAGAAACTTTGGGATTCGAAGATTTTTTTTTTTTTTTCTTGGAAACACATTTAAGAAAGGAGTTAGAACAGCCCAGATTTCTGATTTGCTACGTGAATCATTCTGTGGCGAAAATAGAAATTCTCAGCTAATCATAGTTGACTTTTGCTGGGAATACAGAGTAGTCAACTTTACACCAAGTACCGTTTGATTGCAAAAATTTGGCAAATGAATAATTGGTATAATTTTCCATCTAATCCCTTTGACTTTGTTTTTCATACAAATTGTTACTTTTTTGGATAAATTTTTTTATAATCAATATTAAAATTTGTTTGGATTGTCAAAAAATTAAAAAAAATTGAAAATTGTTGTGTTCGTTTGACTTTATTTTTCATTCAAACGTCAATTAAATGAATAGATTCTTTTACCATTGAATTTGAAATTTGTTCCAATTGCAAAATAATAATAATAATAATAAGATTCTCACCAAAAATCAAAGAAAACAAATTCTTGAAAAAGCAAGAAAGTTGGCACGTGAGGTTGGTAAATGGAAAATGAATTCTGGGCAAAGTATTATCTATCAAACGACTTCAAAGTTGGAAAATGGAATCTTTTTTCCCACTGCCATGGAAAAGGTCCCTTATCAAACAGGGCCTAACTTCATATGTATATCTATTGTTTGTGAAATGCTTATCTGTTCAAAATTAGGTTATAAAATTGTTTAACAAAATGAGTGTGGCAAAATCTATGTTAATGATTTCAAAAATTGGTCTAGATCTTGCCACAGATTTTGTACACATAGCATTGCTTTCTTGTTTAGCTTTCTAAAACCGTGGGCAATTTATTCGTACCCTACTTGTTACTAAGTCCCATTTTATTTAGTTAAATACCATAGTTTTAGCAAGTATCGATAAAAAGTTAATAAAATGTGTTGACTTGGTTTTTTTAAGGGTGACATGGCCAATAAATTCGATTTTTTTTTTTTTGCATGACTGTAGCCTCCTTCCTACACATTTGGACAAATCGTTAGAGCACACGACCTTCTCCAGTGGTGGAGGAAGCGATCAATCACTTTAATAGTCAAGTCAATCCATTTAAGAGTAAGTAATTGGGATGTGCACTAAACAGAGGCTAAATTCATATGTATATCTATTGTTTGTGAAATGTTTGTGTTCAAAATTGAGTTACAAAATTCAAAATGAATGTTGCAAAATCTAGGTTAATGATTTCAAAAATTGGTCTAGATCTTGCTACACATTTTGTACACACAGCATTGCTCTCTTTGTTTAGCTTTCTAGAACCGTGAGCAATTTATTCGTACCCTACTTGTTACTAAGCCCCATTTTATTTAGTTAAATACCATATTTTTTTAGCAAGTATCGATAAAAAGTTAATGAAATGAGTTGACCTAGTTTTTTTAAGGGTGACATGGCCAACAAATTCAATTCTTTTTGGATAACTGTAGCCTCCTTCCTACACACTTGGACAAATCGTTAGAGCGCGTGACCTTCTCCAGTGGTGGAGAAAGCGATCGCAATCACTTTGATAGCCAAGTCAGTCCATTTGAGAGTAAGTATTTGGGTGAAGGATGTGCTAAAAACATGAACCATCAAAAAAAGGGATTTGGATCTTCGAGTGTATACGTAAAGATATGAGAGCAAAGTTATACTTGAGGGTATAAAGTTGCATTATCTTCAAATGACATTAAGTGTGAGCTTTTATAATAGTAGATAAAAAAAAAAAAGTAACCGTTAAATGAATAGACACGTGATCTCATCTTAATGGCAGAGACGTCTTGTCATAGGTGTCATTCTGTCAATCCTAAACTCCGGTACATTAAATTTCTTGATTGTTTTATATTCCTGAGACCTAGGTTGTAAGGACTAGGTTTGACATTTTGACTTGCTAGAGTAGTTGATAAAGTGCCCATACATCAATCAATCACGGAAGATCCCTACAACGCCTCGCCTCATCCATGAGGGTTCGGCCTCGCTATAAGGGTTCGACCTCCTCATGGAAGTTTAGGGATTTGGCCCCTTTGTAAGGGTTTAAAACCTAACACCCACTGAGTCATCTTCGTGGAAACCTAACCTGGCAGTTGGAGATCCTACGGACTAGGTTCAATAGGAAAATTGATTATGAATGACTTGATAAGAGCACTTAGGAGTTTAACTCCTTCCCATTTCTATGATGCAAAAAGTGCTGCATATAAAGTTTAAGGATAAGCTTTGCTTTTAATGATGACTATAAAGAGGACAAGTGATTACCGTAGGGTATTCTTTGTAGAACATCACCTATGTAAGTACGAACTTGGCCAGTTCTTTGAGAATTTATTTAGGCGACTTCTCTAAAGCACTCGCAGAACCCAAGTAATTCAGGGCCGAAATAATGAACACAATAGAGAACCAAGTTTGATATGAAAAATAACGTGTTTGGTCTATTGTTTGAGTCTGCAATAACGGTTGACAATTCAAAATGTTTCGTTCACTGATTAGTCAAGTGAGTTCGATAGATTCTTACTAAAGAAGGTTCAAAGTGAAAGTTACCTATCTTGATGCCTTATCTTTCCAATAGTACTCTTTTTTCTTCTTCCTTGATTTGAGTCGACTTCTTCCATTCATGTGGGGGATTGTTGGAATTAATTGATAATGTGTTAAATAATTAAATGTGATATTTAATTATGTGGGCCATTTAAATTAATTTGGGTGAATTGGAAAAGTCTCCAATATATGCCCATAAGTTGATAAGCCCAATTTTAAGTGTCTTATATATGGTAAGGAATACCACATCGAAAGTTTACAAGAAAAAAGACTTGTTTATATAGTGGGATGTGTGTATAAGTTATAATTTAATAAGTGACCTACAACTTGGCTACCTTGGCTAGCCAAAGGCTAGCAAACTAGCCACCACTAGGGTGGTGCTTCGGACCACTTGTGCTGCGCCCCGTCTCCGGTCCCGGTCCCGGTCCCAGTCTCGGCCTCGGCCGCCACGTCGCAAAGTTCGCATTGTGTGCTTTAGAGGTGCACTTTGCACGTACACATCGTCTCGAAGAGCTGTGGAGCCTTATAGTTTTCAGAAATGGACTCATGGTTCGATGACATGGCAACGGGAGGCTCGATGAGTTGGCATCCTAGGTAGCACACATGTAACATGTTGCGTCACTTAGTCCTGCGTGGCAGTTGGTTCAGTTGGATGTACGCATGTCATCTACATGGCTGGTGACTGTTCAGAAATTGGTGAATAATTATGATGAAAGGACACTATATTTCATGATTTAATCTGGACCGTCAGATCATGAAATAGTGCGATCTAATGGCTAAGACAAATCAAACCAAGTGGTGCACCAGTTCATGAAATGTCAAACACCCATTCAAGGAGACACTTCAATCTCTATAAATAAAGACCTTCAGATTCTTTTTTTGTACACTAAATCAATTAATATACTCTTGATTTCTAAATTCCTTCTCTCTCCATATTTTGCGAAAATTCTTTCAATATAATCGTAGTTATTCCGTTTAAGTATGATCATTTCTTGGTTCGATCGACAAGGTTGGTATTGTGCAATATCGACTTTGAAAAAAGCGTTGTATCTTAGGAGATAGAAGTCCATAATCCCGTTTGCACGTTGTTGGGGGGCGGAATCTGTCTTAAGGAGATTTGCTTTGGCATACCTCGCTTCATCTTCTATTTTTATTTTTTTTGTTATTTTTATTTGTTCTTTCAATTGCGGTAGTCGAATTTCCGACAACAATACTCTCAACTCACTTAATCCATTACTTATTAACGGTCTCATATGCTTGTGGATTTTCACCGAACAATGGGGACACATTTCATGTTCTCACTCTAAAAGTAACATCTTCGTATAATTTCCTCTTGATAATTTTTCAATAATTGCAGTTGAATTCAACTCTAATCGATTAAAATACCAAACCGATTATTTGTAAATCAGAGTTTTGCTAATAGATTTTGTTGACAACAAAACTAAGTAAAATTGACGATCGTATTATCTCTCACACACACATATAGAAAAACAAAAATTATGCCAAGGAAAACTATGATAAAAAGAACGTAATACTACCTAACATGTATGCACTAGGTTAAAGGGTTGATAGTTTCGATTGGTTGGTGAGTTGTACAATCAAATTTAGCCCCTGTTTGTCATCCATTATTTCAAAACATTGTTTGCTACAGTAAGATTCTCCACCACACATTTATCCAATAAAATATTCTACACATAAACCAATAAAGTAACTTTAAATTTCAACCACACATTCTCCAAAAAATACTATTCATTACACCATTTTAACAACAAAAATGGATGACAAACAGGCTCTTAGAAAACTTTCAAAAACTACCCAACAAAGAAAATATTGAACTTAAGAACTACCGCGTGCCAGTTGTTACAATATCACACTTTCTTCAAGTTTAATTTGTATCAATAAATTCTCCACGTGGACTACTTCCACAAAACATCAAAGCCAACATTTGTCTTAGTAAATTGAATGAATTTTGCACTAACAAAGTCAATTAATCAAAAGGTGAAAGTGTTTCTTGTTCGTGAGTGCATAGAAAAACATTGGGGTTTTTGCTTAAAAAGCCT